TATTATTTTTCATTAACTTTATGTGTTTGCCACCACAGTATACATATAAATATAAAATTGGTTGTATGTGGTGTTAAGTGGGGGACAATTTTATTTTTCTCCAATAGTGAATCTGTTTTCACAATGCCACCACTAAATAATTCCTTGTTTTCTTCATGGTGTCTGGTACCACTTTTATCAAATATTAATATACACTGGTCTCTCTGGAGTTCTGAGTTAAAAGTTATAAGCATATTTGTCTGTTTTTGTGCAAAAGCCATACTAGAAATTTTTGGCAGGCCCATCTCATATTTTATTAATATGCTACTATAATACATGTCCAACATATTTGAGATTAGACTAGGAACTCCCACCCTATCAAATGTGATCCAAGACATCACTTTAATATACCAATAAATACAAGAATAGAAAAAAGAAAAGCAAAGAATTGCTTGTCAGAAATGCTCAGTAGTCATTTATTTATTCATTTGCTCACTCATTCAGCAAATATTTATTAAGTGTCTACTATGAATCAGGAATCACGGCAGTGCTGGGGAATACAAGGGTGAAAAAAAGGTTACTGCAATCACAGAAATGTAGTCTTTGTTGAGACACAAACATTAATCAAATAATTATTTGAGCAAATTTAACATTGTAATTGTGTCAAGTGCTCTAAGTGAGAAGCAGTGGTTTAATGTGGAAGGTTTGACCAGGTGGGGAAGAAAATAAAAGTTGAGATTTATAGGATGGGTGGGAGTTAACGAGGCCAGAGAGACAGAAGAAGGTTCTAGAAAAGAGGAAACGACATGTACAAAGAAAGCACTTATAGCAGAAAGAGGTTTGGGAGCGCAAGGGTTTGAAACAATGCAGATGCATTTGTATACAGCGATATTTGGAGGCAGGCCGGGTGCAGTGGCTCACGCCTGTAATCCCAGCAGTTTGGGAGTCAAGGCAGGCAGATCACTTGAGGTCAGAAGTTTGAGACCAGCCTGGTGAGTATGGTGAAATCCCATCTCTACTAAAAGTACACATACACACGAAAAATGAGCCAGGCGTGGTGGGGGAATGTATGTCCTGTTGGTTTGCTGAACGGCAATAACTCTTAGTTTTCTTCTTCCCTTTCTGGCTGTATTTACGCATTCTCCTTGGCTGGTTCCTTCTGCTCTGACCTCTAAATATTATCGTGCCTCTAAATATTTTTTTTCTTGAGATGGAGTCTCACTCTTTCACCCAGGCTGGAATGCAGTGGCACAATCTCGGCTTACTGCAACCTCCGCCTCCCTGGTTCAAGTGATTTGTCTGCCTCACCCTCCTGAGTAACTGAGACTACAGGCGCCTGCCATTACAAATGACATTTTTGTTGTTGTTGTTGTTGTTGTTGTTGTATTTTTAGTAGAGATGGGGTTTCACCATGTTGGCCAGGCTGGTCTCAAACTTCTGACCTCAGGTGATCTGCCTGCCTCGGCTCCCAAACTGCTGGGATTACAGACATGAGCCACTGCGCCTGGCCTGCCTCTAAATATTGCTGTATACAAATACATCTGCATTGTTTCAAACCCTTGCACTGGCAAGGCAGCCAAGAGCATATATGTTCTAGATTAGGTTATCTCACAAAATAGTGAGTTTCTTATCTCTAGGTCCATTTAAGAAAGTTACATCTCATGATCCATGAAATGATATTAACAAGTTTTATATTGATAATTTTTTATCCTTATAGAACACTCTGTATTTTATTTTGAAATTAATTTGAAATTAACCTTTTTTTTTTCCCAAAGAAGTCAACATGATTTAAATCTCAAGTGAAGAGTATTTTTTTATCCAACCTAGTTATTTTATAATTCTCTAGGTGTTTCCCTTGAGGAAGTGTCCTTTCTGTCTTGTTCACCACTGCATTCCCTGTGCCCAGAACAATGCCTTAAACATAGTAGATGCTCAATAAATACTTGCTAAATTAATTAGTAAAACAAACAAATGAAAATTTAGTAGTTTTAAGGATATGTTATCTCATTTCCCCACTGGGGAAGAGGGAGGTTCATGTCTACTGCATCTATTAAAGGCAGACCAGACATCGTGAACTGTCTCCAGTCATTCATTGGCTTGTTTTAATTGAGTGACTGCTAAATGAAAACTAGTCATAAGAACTGATTTATAATTTATTTCATATTCTACCTTAAATTTTTATAGACCACTTTGAAATGTAATAGAAATTGAACTTGATTAGTACACTGTGTTTCACTGAGATCAATTTTGAAAAGTGAAGTTCAAAGAAGTATACAAAGCATTAAAAAGTAAATATTGCATTTGTTGGAAAATGTACAATTTTAAATTTTTTTCTCAAATTGAGAAGGATTTTTTTTTTAAGAATTGGTTTAAATTTTCAGAAACTACACAATTGACACAAACTTCACATCTCATCTTAGTGTTATGTTGTTCACTCATTTGCGCCAGACAAGCTCTGGAGCTAATGTCGAAGAGAGGGGGTTGAAGGTGAATGAATTAGCATTAGCATTCAGCCTTAGACCAAGACAGATCACTCTCTGAGAAGAGGTACTGGAAGGACAGGGAACAGGGAGTGTCATGAGGAAGAAGTGAATGGATCAGAGAGATGTGGTAGTACAATGGCGGGGAAGACGGAAGTCCATAATTACTGACATTGAGAAAGCACTTAGAATGTGCCAGGCTTTGTTCTGAGTGCCTGGATATCACTTAATCCTTGCAACAACTCTGAGAAGTGAAAAACTGTGCTCATTTTATTGTGATTAGGAGATGTTTCCCTTTCTACTCCAACCTACGAAACAACTAGACAATGTCCTTTAGTCTTGCTTTTTTTCCCCGTTAAGTCTGTGTTCCCCTTGTTTTTGAATACTATTCTTTGTCATATGCCATGCGGAGATGGTTTCACCCTGAAGATGACATCTGTCCCTGTGCATCACTCATCCTCTGGTGCTGGCAGGGGAGGAACTGGCAGGATTGACAAAGCTCATGGAGAGCTGTCTCTATTTGCTCATCAGTGAGTATGTGGGATTTTTGTTGTTGTTGCTGCCCTTAATATCTTTAGTTTCTGGCCTCTGAAATTAGAAAATTGTGAAACTAAACTGGACAGATTTGGCCTGTGGGCTTTGGATTGCAAATTGTTCACTTCTTTAAGGATTGCTCTAGCCCTGACTTTCTGTTATTTCTGAAATGAACACCCATTTCCAATCAACCTTCTCAAACATCTGTCATAAGCAGTCCAAATAATTTAATTTTAGTTGTAGAAAGTACTATAGTCTCCAGTATTACCTTATTATTATTGATTATCTTACTTAACAGATGGGCAAATGGAATGTTTAGACCTGAGAGGTTACTCAAGCAACATAAAAGAAGTTCCTTGTTATATTTGGTCTGGTGTACTTTTTACTATACAGCATTGGAAAACTAGTTTGTACGGCAGAATCATATTTATAAGCAAAAGTTATTCTTTAAAAGAAATCACATCTACTCACATTCCATTGTATCTTTAAATTTATGCCCTTTGTTTCAAACCTATGTTTTAGAGGAATATATTTCAGTGACCATATAGCCTAACCTAAATAAATTGGACACTTGTTCAGAGAAAGTACTTTATATTCCATTCTTTTGTTTACAGTTTTCTTTTTTTGTGATGCAACAAACAAATCACCATTTTAATAGCCTCAATTAATGCGAAAGAGGAAAATAAATATCTAAGATGAATTCTGGTCAAATTGCTCTTCCGCCCTTTACTGGAATGAGGAAAAACATGAGCCACCCTTAAAGCATCAGAGGTTAAAGAGTAGGCAAGAGTTTGGAAATGCCCTATATTCAAAGGCTATGATGATAGTCTGAGTAGTTTTCTGGAACCTGAAGCAAGCTTTCTTTTTGTCCTCTGAAAAGCTTCATGCTAGAGATGATGATGTCATCATTAATAGGATGAGATGTGCTTATGGTATCATTGATGGTAAAACACGAGTGTTAAAAAATATGGAAATGGAAGGATGTCAACTGGTCTCATGCTGATGACTCAGGCTTATTTTAGTAGCAAAGGGTCAATGACAATTTTATAGATATGGAGACAGAACAGCTCATTAGTGGCATTCACTAATAAAATAGAGCATGGGACAGACACAGAGAATGTAAGGCATGCGCTGTTTGACATGAATTTTTAATTTACACGCTCAGTATTGCAATAATTCTGGCTCGGCGTATAAAGGTATTACGATGGTAAACGTTTTCAAGAACTGAAATGGTGTGACTGTGACAGTTGGCTTTTCAAACAGGATTCTTAGGACACCCGTGAGGAGCCTTAAACCAAACAAAAAGGAACAGACGTGTTTCTCCTTTGTGGTCAGACTTACCTGGTTTAAGTCAGTAATTGAGAAGAGGTGCAGGAGGATGAGTCAGATGCTCTGTCATTACTTTCTGAAGAGCTAAAAGCACACAGTATTTATATCTTAATCTTCCAGATTATGTGCTGACAGAATTCATTTAGTTCAAGTGCACTTCAAATAAAAATGCAAATTATCCAATTCTTATTCACTCCTCACCATGAACTCTGGTTTTGATGGTAGTAAAGAAGGTGAGAACTCTCCACTAGGTGTTCAGGAGTCCAGTATAGGAAATACGTTATAACTTTATTTGTGACAAACGATGTTTGTTCTTGGAGAAAATAAGTAACCCACACGTAGCCCACGCCTAGAACCTCAATGGATGCGTTTCCCATAGTAATTCACACTGGACTTTATTATTTTGCAGTATCCTTGATTCTCCAACTTTATGTACATATGTATGTATATATGTATTTTTGTCCCTAAATTATGGTGATTGTCATGTATCATTGTCATGCCAGTAAATTCCTAAAAACACAAGATCCCAAAGAATGGTGCCACAGATGACTATCCTGTCTGAACTGCTTTTGGGTCTGCGTAGGAAATTCACTGTGTAGAGTGTGTAACAGTCTCCTTGGCGTCAACTTCCTGTCAGTGGGCCTCAGGCAGCTGTGACTTAAAACGCTGCCTCTGTGGCTCAGACCTCGCTCTGTCATTGACCCCAGGGCAGGGACCACGGCCCGCGCGGAGGGCAGGGGCAGGGCGGAGCCGGGGTCCAGCGCGCGCTCAGGAGTGAGTCTTTGTACAGTCAGGGCTTCTGCTGGGCAGGGCCGGCTGTTAAGCTTGCTTGGCGGACACTTGGGCGTGGGGGGAGGGGGGCAGATGGGCCTTATAGGTGGCGTCCGTTGGTGAGAAACACCTTGCGCAGGTAAAAGGGTGGCAGCGAGAGGGAGTTCCCACCCGTTGTTTTCTTAGAGAAATGAAGTCTTAAGTCTTAAATAGACAACAAGGTGAGGCCGATCGGTGTCTTTTGGACGCGCCTGGAGCCCCACCCTCCGCCAGAGGAAAAGCCCCTTGGGTGAGAGGCAGGCGCTTCACAGAAGCCGAGGAAAAGCGCCTCTCCGCGCGCGCTACCTCCTCCAGCGCAGCTCCAGCGCAGCGGGCCCAGCCTGCGCCCCTGCCGCGGCCCTCGCACCGCGGAGTCCTCCTACCCAGTCCCGGCGCCCGGCCCGCGACCTGCCCCGAGCCCTCTCCATGGCGGCAGCCCGCCCCTCCGGCTTCCGGAGCGGAGCCCTCTGCCCGCAGCTCCTGGTGACCCTCGCGGTGAGTGCAGCCCGGGTCACAGCTCCGGGGAAGGGAGCGATCGCCTGGGGTGCGGAGGAAAACTCTGGGAGCAGGGGTGGGTGGGGGTGGCGGTGGCGGGAAAAGCTGGGGTGAAGGGACCTCTGGGTGACTAGAAAATGGAGTTGGCGGGAGTGGGGAATGCAAACAGGAAGAGGATCGCGACTTGGGAGTTGGGATCCCCAAGGGGAGGGAAGGTGTCTCCGGCAGATGTAATCAGCGCAGTCAGAGGCGGGTGCTGGCCTCCTGGGCCCTGCCAAAACCTTGGCCTCTGGGTACGCGCGGGGGAGCGGGGTGCGCCGGGGAGGGAGTGCGCCTGGCGGTCCCGTTGCTCCTCTGGCACCTTCCCCGGGAAGGTGCGGCCCCCTCTGCCTCAGCGCCGGCCCGGGCCACGCAAAGGTGCTGGGCGGCGGGGTCGGAACGCGATTGTCAGTGGGTGAGAAAGGGAACTGCTTTCCGTTCTGGGAATTGCTTATTCTGAGGGAGGGCAGGGGGAAGTGGCGGGGTCGGAGGAGGGGATCTTGACCCTCTGCTCCTAGAGACAGTCGATGGGCGGGCTCTACGTGACCATTTGCACAGTTTCAGTGATTTCTTAACCCCTGAGGCTTCAGTTCCCTACATTTTTGAAGGAAGGAAGGGTCACTCTGATTTCTTGTTTCCAGAGGTGACTAGGATTTTCTGCTCACCACCCGCCCCCCTCCCCGCCCCGCCACGCCACCGCCCCTTGTCCCAGCTTTCCGTCTTTAAAGAGCACTACTGCAAGGACCCTATCCCTTCCCAGAGCTGGGAGCCTAAGGGGTTGGCTTATTTGGAGCGGAACAGCCCCACTCCCAGGCAGGTCTGTTAGGATCTCGTTGGGGAGCCAGAAAACACATAAAGCCAATGCAGGGGAACCAGCATCTGGGGAATTTGGGATATAAAATACCCGCGACTGGAGTTTCCCTGGCTCCGTAGAAGAGGCAAAAATTCTACAGGTGCGGAAAAGTGCTCTTTGCCTTGAGCAGAAGGCGTTGGGCGCGAGTCAACCACGAAGGACAATGGGAGGAACCCGGAAGGCTCATTCCTTCTGGGAGAAGTGAACTGGGGGATGAAATATTCGGATAATCTCCCCCTCCCTTCCGCTCTCATTTCAAATCGTGAATTGTTACTATCATTAGAATGTTGTTACTATTACTAAAATTGTTACTATTATTAGAATATTGTTACTATTATTAGAATGTCTTTCTGGAGGAACTGAATGGACTTCAAATCCTTAACTGAATTCCCAGGGCATATTAATAACATAGAAAGGGCCAAATACACAGCAGCTAACATTTTACAGATGAGGAAACTAAGAATGGAATAAATAACGGTCAGAACATACGTTGATGAGTAAGAATTTTCATTAGACTCCTAATAAAATTGCAATTTCTTTTAAAACCACTAGCCATTATTCTTTAAAGGAAAAGGCATGCATAGGCACTTACAGTGCGTAGCATTGCTCTGCATATACCTGCAGACAGAGCTTTCTGTGTGTCATCTCAGATTCTGTTTAGAAGAGGGCAGGGTATCAGTGGATACATAAAATTGAATTTCCATTCCTTGGTCTTCCTTAGCTTTGGAGTTTTGATAGGCGGGGTCTGGAGTAGGAAGTGTGCTGGGCCTGGCCGCACTCTCATTCTGCTGCTTTTGCATCTGTGCAAAGCCCTAGCAACCTCACGTGATTGTTGTGGTTGTGAGTCTCATGTGTGAGAAATGTGTGAAGACTAATTGTAAGTTTTTTTTTTTGAGACGGAGTCTCACTCTGTCACCCAGGCTGGAGTGCAATGGCGCGACCTCAGGTAACTGCAACCTCCGCCTCCCAGGTTCAACCGATTCTCCTGCCTCAGTCTCCCGAGTAGCTGAGAATACAGGCACGGGATACCACGCCTGCCTAATTTTTGTATTTTTAGAAGAGATGGGGTTTCACCGTGTTGGTCAGGCTGGTCTCCAACTCCTTATCTCGTGATCCGCCTGCATCGGCCTCCCAAAGTGTTGGGATTACAGGTGTGAGCCACTGTGCCCGGCCAAGAAATTATTAAGAATGATTTTATCTGGGCATGGGGTGCATGCCGTGCCCACTGGAGAGAGGCTAAGAATGGAGGATCACTTGAGCTTGGGAGGTCCAGGCTGCAGTGAGCCCTGGTCATGCACTGCATCTCAGCCTTAGTGACAGAGTGATATCCTATAGCAAAAGTGTGTGGGCGGGGGAATGACTTTGGTAGGGGGGTGGGATCTCCTTTGCATTACCTCCTTCCCACATACCCTTCACCATTCCGCAAATCAGCTTCTCCTCTCTTCCTAATGTTTTTTCAAGCCACACCTGGCTCAGCCACTTGAACTCTGTCTTCCTGCTAAACACCTAATAAAGCTTCTCTCTCTTAAGATCACTGGGGCTCTCCCATGCTAAATCCAAATGACTCATTCTTTATATGATTCTACCTTGTAGCTTTTGCCCTTATTCTTGAGATTCACTCCTTTTTTTTTTAATCTTTCTGACCACTCAGGGTCTGACTCCCTACCTAGTGTCTTATCTTTTTCTTCTTTCTCTCGTCTTTTTTTTTGGTCTGGTAAAGATGACATAACATGAGATATATCCTCCTAACAAATTTATAAGTGTATCGTATTGTTAATTGTAAACACAATGTTATATAGCAGATCTCTAGAACCTTTTCATTTTCCATAACCAAACTTTCATATCCATAAACAGCAAACCACTGTTTCCCCTACCCTGGTCATCTGGCAACCGCCCTTCTATTTACTGCTTCTATGAGTTTGACAACTTTTTCCTCCACTCTTAAATGCTGGTGTCTCTTGGTGCTCTGTTCTAGGTCCTGTCCTTTGGAATCTACACTCTTTCCCTAGGGCATTTCATGCACTTTTATAGCTTAAAATATCACACAGTTGCCAACATATACTAAATTAATATTACTAGTTCAGATGTCTTCATTGAACAATAGGCCTTTGTATCTCTCTACTGACTGTAATGTGTGACACAGCATTTATTATCTTCCCAAACAATGTTGTTTTTCTTTTAGTGTCCTGTGTTTCAATATGTGCCAGTACCATACGCCTGTTCGTCAAGTAGGAAGTCTGAAGCCTGTTTGTTTTTTCTTTCTCACTGCTCCCCTTCCTTAATCCATCAAGTTCCATTCAATCTGCATTCAAAGACAGTTCATGGACCAACCTGGGCAACATGGCAAAAGCCCCTTTCTACAAAAAAATACAAAAATTAGCCAGCCATGGTGGTGTACACTTATAATCCCATGTACTTGGGAGGCTGAAGTGGGAGCATCACTTGAACTCAGGAGGTGGAGGTTGCAGTGACCTGAGATCATACCCCTGCACTCTGGCCTGGGCAACAGAGCAGGACTGTTTTAAACAAAAAAGGTGTATACTTTTGGTAGATTTTGTTTTTCCCTTTATAAAGGTTGTATATGACTAGAGAGAAAGCTCTTTTGTGATAGATATCACATGATTGAAGATATATATATTAGTGTAAAGATAAATTGAATCTATGCTTCATTCAGAACACCACAGAAAATTCCAGAGATGAACGTTTTAAGTATAAAATGATACCTTACAGATAATAGAAGAAAACATGATAAATTCCTATATAAATTTAGATTCCACAAGGCCTAGTTGTGCATTAGATTTCAAAAGCCAATTGATTAAAATTGGGAAAATCTGGCTGGGTGTGGGACTCATGCTTGTAATCCCAGCACTTTGGGAGGCTGAGACAGGTAGATCACCTGAGGTTGGGAGATTGAGACCAGTCTGACCAACATGGTGAAACCCTGTCTCAAAAAAAAAAAAAAAAAAAAAAAAATTGAGAAAATTAATGATATAAAAAGTACATATATATATATACTTCTTCATTGCAAAAAAGCAACTCTAACCAAACAAAAACACCACAAGCAAAGTCAAAAGGTAATTGATAAACTGGAAAAAAATAATCACAGGTCATATTTTAAAACGCTAATCTAATACATAAAGACCTCTTGTAAGTCAAGAAGAAAAAGTGCAACATGAACATGTATGTAAAAATATCCACAAAGTAGTAAAATGGCTCTCAAAATATAAAAATATCTCAGTCTCACTCAAAATATGAATAAAAAATACATTAAAATGTGATTTCACACTTGGCAACACCCAAAAGTTTGATATCATGTTGTGTAGGCAAGAATGTGGATATAAATAGAAACTCATAAATTATTGGTGGGTATAATTCAAAGTTGCAACCTTTATGGACTTTATAGAGTTATATCTAATGCAAACAGAAATTGTTTTACTTCTTCCTTTCCAATACCTGTGCATCAAATATCATTCTGTTCATATGTCAGTACCACATGAATTTAGTTGTTGAGGCTTTATACAGTTTTTAATACCTGCTAGTGTTGATAGCTTTTCATTGCTTTTCTATACATAATTTTTCTAAATTAATTTTTTATTTTTTCCTTATGATCTTTTAAACCAGCTTGTTTAGTTCCAGAGAAAATTTTATTGAGGTTTTTTAATGGTATCAAAAAATTTGTAATTTAACTTAGTAAGAATTGATATAGATACATTGTTGATTTTTTTTCTTTCTTTTTTTTGCAAGTGTACTTTTCTGTCCTGGGGATGTTTTCAGGTTTCCTTCAAATAGGCTTTGCGTGTTTCTTGTTAAATTTACTCCTTGGCATTTCAACTTTTCGTTGCTTTTGGAAATGATTTCTTATATTATCTGACTGGTTTTGGTTATGAATATGAAGACTAATGATTTCCATATTTTCATGGTTATTTCTGCTTACTTAAGCCTCTTCTTGTTTTATAGTAATGTATTGGTTGATTTGCTTGGGTTTTCCAGGTTAACAGTCATATCAAATGCAGAGATTTTTTTACATCTTCCTTTTCAGTTCATATGCTATCTAGTATCTTCTTGCAAATATGCCTTTAATGTAATATAAACTAAATATGGTGATGACACCTATCTTGTTTCTGAGTTTAATTGTATTGCTTCTAGTGCTATCCCATTGGTGCTGTGTTATAATTTATAAAGATCACGTTGCAAAAGTGTTTATCAATTCTTATTTTTTGAGGCTAAAAACAATAAGAATGGTTATTGTATTTGGTCAAGTGCCTCTCAGCATCTACGATAGTGATCACATCTCAAACCTTCTTTAAATTCATGGCTTGTGGTTTCTGGACCAAGCAAAAGATTTGAGTGTGGATCATAGTTCCAAGCAAGGGCCAGTCTTCTGGCTTAAATTGGTAATGAGGATTTAGCATGTGGGGCCCAGATTAATGTGGAGTGGATCCTCTTAGATCTCAGGTGGGCACTGTGCTTTGCTTTCATTCTCCTTCTCTACGGACGCCAACAAAGCAGAGTCAAATCTTTGCAGGTCAGAAGTCATTCCTGGGTTCCTCCTACCACTCTGTGTTCCAGCTTTATCTTCAGTTTTGGCCTAGCAATTTCTTGCTATTTTGTTAGCTCTTTAGATGCTTTAAGATGCTTTAGGTTGTTTAGATGCTTTAGAATGTTTTAAAAATGTTATACATCATTTTTAATTAGTTTTGCCATAGGGCTTTCTTAATTACCTAGCCTGTCATTATTGGAAATGAGAGTTGTTTCCATTCTCCACATTGGACAGATCTATCATATTCAAATATAAAGGTGCTTATTTAATTTATTTGCTTGAAATCTTTAGTTTCTTTTTATGTAAGGAAAAAAGATTCATGCACTTTGCTATTGCCATTCAAAATCTGGCCCATGCCCAGTTCTCTGAGCCCATTTTAAACTTCTGCCTCTGTTCTGATACACACATCAACCCTTCCAGATTTATTCTTCAGGTCCATGTCATCTCTAGGCCTTCACATATGCCATTCTGTTGATAGCAACATTTGAGCTCTGCCTCTTCTTAGCCTGGCTAACTTGTAGCTGCTGTTCAGGTGATCTCACCTGGCTTTTAGACATTGCTAGTTCCCTCTGCTCTCCTGTAGCTCCCTGTACTTCCCAATCTTTACATTTCTCTTACTTTAGTGAAATTACAAATATGTCTTACCCTTAGATTGAATGTTTCATGAGGATCATGTTTACTGCTCTGTGTCTGGCACATAGTACGCATTCAGTAAATATTTGTTGAATGTATGAATGAATGGATGGATGTCCAGGATACTGTTATTCAAAGAATTGTCTTAATCCAACCATTTTTCATCTTATCCATCATTATTACCATAATAATGGTTACTTGGGCTAATATTACATTCATTGTAAAGTTTTAGACAGAACAGAACTAAATTTAAGTGTGTTTACATATATGTTGCATTGGACTTGTTTCACCATGAATCACTAAACCATTAAAAATTTTTAAGTAAATTATTTTCTAAAACGAACTTAACTTTTATTTATGAGAAGATACACCTTCAAAATAAGTTCATATTTCAAAGTTATGTGCCTGTTGTGTGGAGTAACACATAAATACTCTCCAAATCACTTCATGGCAATAAGTTAATGTTTGTCTTTAAAAGCATTGACTTTTTTTTTGTTTGTTTTTTGAGGTGGAGTTTTGCACTTGCCATTTAGGCTGGAGTGCAACGTCACGATCTCAGCTCACTGCAACCTTCGCCTCCCGGCTCAAGCAATTCTCCTGCCTCAGCCTCCCAAGTAGCTGGGATTACAGGTGCACACCACCATGCCCAGCTAATTTTTGCATTTTTAGTAGAGATGGGGTTTCACCGTGTCGGCCAACCTGGTCTCAAACTCCTGACCTCAGGTGATCTACCCTTCTTGGCCTCCCAAAGGGCTGGGATTACAAATGTGAGCCACTATGCCCTGCCCAGCATTGACTTTTTGTTTAGGATATTATTAATTTGGTATCATATCTCATAGGCAATGAAAAATGTATTGAAACAGTTTGCTGCCTCAGTAAATTTGGTTTTGTTTCTTTCTCCTATGTATCCACCTGTGCTGCCTTCCTGACAGTTTTCAGCACCCTCTCACTAGGTCGTTGTTGGATCCTCACTGTACTGAGGATAATCAGCAAAGTTATTATTACATCTGTTTCAGAGCTTAGGAAACAAAGCTGAAGAGAGTACATAATTCTTTGTGTTTACATGCTTTCTGTAAGAGGGAGCTAGAACTCGGTATATTGTTTTATTCCTCCCCTCGATATACTTTTGTCCTGATTTCTTTCCCCAGTAAGTTTTTATTTTGATAATTATATAAATCATATATAATTATAAATATAAATTCACATATTTCTATTTAATAAAGTATTTTAAAATCAATAACTAGTATAATCAATAAACATATAATATTAATATTTATATATAAGTATTACATGCCTTTTAATAATATATAATGCATAATTTTATAATTTATATAAACTATATACATATTAAAGGTTTCTTTTTCTGCATAATATTGATTTGATTTTTCTTTATTTTTTAGATCTTAATAATTGCCAGTGAAGCCTGCAAAAATGTAACTTTACATGTTCCCTCCAAACTAGATGCCAAGAAACTTGTTGGTAGAGGTAAGGAAGTCCTAAAATTTGTAATAAGTCCTGATTTACTGTGGTGCATGTACACCATGGAATACTATGCAGCCATAAAAAAGAATGAGATCATGTCCTTCGCAGGGATGTGGATGGAGTTGGAAACCATTATCCTCAGCAAACTAACACAGGAACAGAAAAATCAAACACTGGATGTTCTCTATTACAAGTGGGAGCTGGAAAATGTGAATACATAGTCACAGGGAGGGGAACAACACACACTGAGGCCTGTCAGGGGGTGTTGGGGATTCGGGGAGGAGAGCATTAGGAAAAATAGCTAATGCATGCTGCACTTAATACCTAGGTGATGGGCTGATAGGTGCAGCAAACTATCATGGCATGTACTTACCTAGGTAACAAATCTACACATCCTGCACATGTACTCTGGAACTTAAAATAAAATAAAATAAAAAATTAAACACACACATAAACTGTGATCTTTTAAAATTGGTGTAATTTTTAGAATAATAACTCTGCTGGGACTAGTAAAAAAATCTAATATAGTACATTAATCTTTGTAATACATGTGGTGTCATTCTAATGAAAGGAATATTGTTATTTTTGGAAAACATGATTATATGAAGCAGATGAAAATACTTTATTTGAGTAATATTTACTAAAATTTACATTAGAAGAAAGTTAGAAAATACATTTAACGGCTGGGCACAGTGGCTCACGCCTGTAATTCCAGCACTTTGGAAGGCCCAGGCGGGAGGATCATGAGGTCAAGAGACCGAGACCATCCTGGCCAGCATAGTGAAACCCCGTCTCTACTAAAAATACAAAAATTAGCTGGGCCTGGTGGCACGCGCCTGTAATCCCAGCTACTCGGGAGGCTGAGGCAGGAGAATTGCTTGAACCCAGGAAGTGGAGGTTGCAGTGAGCCGAGATCATGCCACTGCACTCCAGTCTGGTGCCTGGCGACGGAATGAGACTCTGTCTCAAAAAAAAAAAAAAGAAAATACATTTAACATGCCTCTAAAAAATTGAGAAACAGTATTGAAACTATTTCCTTTTTAGTTTAAAGGTATTGTTTTTGAGTTTTTATTCTTAAATATTTTACTTTGTATTATATTTACTTCCACATATTATTTTTAATCAAAATATTTCATATAACTGTACCAAAAGATCAATGATAGCATATAATGTGATGACTGTTTAGCCATAGATGTAAAGAATTTCATATTTTCATTTAGTAAATGCTGATTTTAGTCTGCTAGATTCTGTATAACTTCAGGTGTTCTTAGGTGTTACTCTATAGTTTATTTCTGTTGAGGAAGAGAAAACTTGTCTTGGTTTTGGCTTAAATAGTCAAACACTGAAGTTCACATGCATTTGCTTCAGAGGAAATATCTCTTCTTTAAGAGAATGTTAAGTAGGTATTAGAAGTGATTTATGTGTTTAAGCACAACTTAATTCACCATATAGTTTCATATGTTCCTTCAAAAATTTACAAATGTCAGTATAATTAATTAGAAGTTTTTGGCTCTCCCCACATGCATGCATTACTGTTAAAACTATATCCTATATTTTACTTTACAAATGATTGCTGTGCATATTTTCTACAGTTAACCTGAAAGAGTGCTTTAAATCTGCAAATCTAATTCATTCAAGTGATCCTGACTTCCACATTTTGGAAGATGGCTCAGTCTATACAACAAATACTATTCTATTGTCCTTGGAGAAAAGAAGTTTTACCATATTACTTTCCAACACTGAGAACCAAGAAGAGAAGAAAATATTTGTCTTTTTGGAGCATCAAACAAAGGTATACAAGGCTACATAAATGAAGAAATGATGTCTTTTCTTCAGACGTAACCAACATTACCAGGGAAGATAGGAAATCAGAAAGGATATGGTATAGTTTGGCTTAAAGAAGAATGAAACCCATGAGGCAAATTCACAGTGTTTCAGAGGAAAAGGGCTGTGCAACATAGCTGATTCCAGTTGTTATTCCTTTTCATTTAGGACATAAAAGGAGAAACTGGGTTAAGGTACAGCATGGGAACCTGAGATTAGACACAAAGCAGTATTTTTTTGAGCTTAACCACAGAATGGATTTCTAACAACAAGTTTTGAAATTCTATCTCTGGATAAAGAAAGAAGAACTTTTTTTTTCACGTTCTTTTTAGCATAATTTGTGGTCTTAAAAGTAGATGACTATTTTAGGAGGAGGTCTGGACCACATGCATGCTATTGTGTTGTGACACTCAAGATCAAAATAACTTGTATTCAACCATTAGCCATTCCTCACTGCAGTAGTTTGAGAGTTGTCATCGTGTTTCTCTCCTCATTCTGACACAGATCTCTCTGTTGGTCCCCTGGCTCTGCCTAGTTGCTGGTGAGTGGAAGTTGCTTGTACTCAATTTAGAAGGGCACATACAGACTTATTTTCTTTGCATATCTCTCTCTCCCATGTTTTTGCATGGCAATGTGGCCAAAGTAATTTTTTGTTTTCAGTTTTGCTTCTAGGCTTCCAGTTCCGTCTCTCTTTCTTCCATATTTCCACCAAATCATTTCCCCAAGAGGATTGTTGTGATAGCCATTAGGACAGTTATTTCTTCATTATTTTTTTGCAGTGTCGATATTTAGTTTGGTTTTCAAGCACTCCCATGGTCTTACCCTTCCTCAGCTAATCATCATGACAGGAGAAAAATGTGTCATTGTTTCATGTTTGAGAATAAGTAGTCATTGACTTTGTTATTTTTTCCTGTCTTATAAATTGAGGTTCTAAAGAAAAGACATACTAAAGAAAAAGTTCTAAGACGTGCCAAGCGAAGATGGGCTCCCATTCCTTGTTCAATGCTAGAGAACTCCTTGGGTCCTTTTCCTCTTTTCCTTCAACAGGTACAGTTTTCTTTCTTCCTGCTGTGGAAGTCTATAGTTTCAATGTCTTAACATTATGACACTGAGTATGACGTTATTTATAATAGTTGTATATAAGTATATGAGTGAATGAGTATGTGTATAATATGTTTCCATATAAAGGGTATAAATATATCTCATTATACTTGCATATACTTTTGTTCAGTTGCATTCATGCAAAGGCCATCATAAAACTGTAGCACTCTCAAATATGTGGTTCCTTAATGAATTATCATATCAGCAAGGGTATCACCAAGCCTAGGAATAGCCTAGAAATCTCAAAATTCTTTTATATTACAGGATAAAATTGGATGAAAGGCCAAATGCCATGAAGGAGGAAGACACATAGGCCCTTCTGTCTATTTCTTATTTTTGAAACCACAACTGAAATCATACTGGATCCACAGTTCTCTCTCTCTCTCTCTCTTTCTGTGTGTGTCTTTTTTTTTTTTTTGTAGCAATGAGGTCTCATTATGTTGCTTAGGCTGGTTTTGAACTCCTAGGCTGAAATGATTCTCTCATCCCATCCCGACCTCCCCAAATGCTGGGATTACAGGCATGAAACAGCCATGCCTGGCTCTTTTTCTCTGTCTTTTTTTAACTTTCAGTAGAAACTCAGTCTTCTTGCCTTCTTCTACTAGTAGTTGTTATTACATTCAGTCTGTGACTTGGGTTTATTTTCCCTCAGTTTTTGACATAGCAAGGGAGAACCCTTTTTTTATACCCCACCATCAAATTTAATACAACTGGGAGAAGAGCATATTAAAGTTGAGAAAAAAATTGTCAGAAAACAGCTGAGTCAGTCAACCTGACATGCAGATAGTCACGGCATTACTGACAGAATAACACAGCTTGGAAGAAATTTGCTTTTTCAGTCAAAGATCAGAATATCTGAGAGATCCAAGTTGGCTGATCACTAACAGCTCAAGATTGTAGCTCCCAGTGAAAGTGCAGAGAACGAGAGGACGCCACATTTTTAGACGAATTCTTGTTGCTCACGAACCAGGCCATTCCCAGCGGAGGAGCCCTACAGGTCGCCAGCGTGACTCTTGTGGCCTGCGTGGCAGTTTTGCAGGCGCCTCAGAGCGGCAGTTTTTGGTGCAGAGTAAACGGGACTGGGTCCCCTTTTATGTTTGGAGCTCCGGGAAGGCAGAGTCGCCTATTCAGCTGATTGGAAAAGGGACTCAAGAAGGAAGCCAGACTGGAGATTCCTGACTGGAGATTAACGCTGCTGTTTTAGCTGGCGCAGTGGGTTGCTCAGATTCCGGCTCCAGGAATCAACAAGTTGGACATCCACTCAGAGACCTAATTTGAAAGTTGCTAATTACAAAGACGACAGAAGGATAAATTTACAATGATGGGAAGAAACCAGCATAAAAAGGCTGAGAAAACACAAGATCAGAATGCCTCTCCCTCTACAGGGGATCACATTTCCTCATCAACAGGAGAACAAGGCCTCATGGAGAATGAGTGCGTTCCATTAACAGAATTAGGCTTTGGAAGGTGGATAAGAAACTTCTGTGAGTTAAAAGAACATTTTCTAGCCCAATGTACAGAAACTAAGAACCTTGAAAAAAGGTTTGACGAAATCCTAATGAGAACAGACAATTTAGAGAGGAATATAAGTGAATTAATGGAACTGAAGAATACCATACAAGAACTCCACGATGTATGCACAGGTTTTAATAGTCAAATTGATCAAGCAGAAGAAAGGATATCAGAGGTTGAAGACCAACTTAATGAAATGAAACGAGAAGACAAAACTAGAGAAGAAAGAGTAAAAAGGAATGAGCAAAGTCTCCAAGAAATATGGGACTATGTGAAAAGACCTAATTTACGTTTGATAGGTGTACCTGAATGTCATGAAGAGAATGAATCCAAGCTGGAAAATATTCTTCAGGATATTCTTCAGGAAAACTTTCCTAACCTAGTAAGGCAGGACAATACTCAACTCCAGGTAATACAGAGAACACCGCAAAGATATTCTTCAAATAGAGCAACCCCAAGACACATAATCGTTAGATTCACCAGGGTTGAAATAAAGGAGAAAATTCTAAGGGCAGCTAGAGAGAAAGGTCAGGTTACCCATAAAGGGAAGCCTATCAGACTCACAGCAGATCTCTTAGCAGAAACCCCACAAACTAGAAGAGAGTGGGCGTCAATATTCAATATCCTCAAAGAAAAGAATATTCAACCCAGAATCTCATATCCAGCCAAATTAAGCTTCATAATGAAGGAAAAATAAAATTTTTCACGAACAAGCAAGCACTCAGAGATTTCATCACCACCAGGCCTGCTTTACAAGAGCTTCTGAAAGAAGCACTATACACAGAAAGGAACAACCAGTATCAGTCATCCCAAAAACTTACCAAAAGGTAAAGAGCATCTCCACAATGAAGAATCTATATCAACGAATGGGCAAAATAGCCAGCTAGCATTAAATGACAATATTAAACTCACAAATATCAATATTAACCCTAAATTTAAATGGATTAAATGCCCCAATCAAAGACACAGACAGGCAAATTGAATAAAAAGCCAAAACCCATAGGTACGCTGTATCTAGATCCGTCTCATAAGCAAGGACACACTAAGACTCAAAACAAAGCGTTGGTGGAAGACTTACCAATCAAATGGAGAGAAAGAAAAAACAACAACAGGAGTTGTAACTTTTGTCTCTGACAAAATAGACTTTAATAGTAACAACGACTAAAAGAAACAAAGAAGGACATTACATAATGGTAAAAGGATCAACGCAACAACAGGAGTCAATGATCATAAATATATATGCACCCAATATAGGAGCACCCAGATATATAAGACAAGTTCTTAATGACTTATAAAGGGACTTGGACTCCCGCACAATAATAGCGGAGACTTTGACACCTCACTGTTAATATTTGATGGATCAACGAGATAGAAAATTAGCAGGGACATCTATGATTTGAACTCAGACCTGGAACAAGTAAACTCAGTGAATATTTATAGAATTCTTCACCCCAGGTCCACCGCACATACATTTTTCTCAGTATCACATTACACCTATTTTGAAAGTAACCACATAATTGGAAGTAAATCACTCTTCAGCATTTGCATAGCATTTCACAGACTTAAATGAAATATTGGTTGGCTGTTTGATTGTTATTTTCTTCCCTTATTCCTTCCTGTCTCTACTGTTAAGCACAATTATCGGCATAAAAGAGGTTTTTAATACCTATTTTTAGATTGCATTCCAGCCTGGGCAATAGAGCAAGACTCCTGTTCTCTCTCCCCCATTCTCTTTCTCTTTCTTTCTTTCAAAAAAAAAAAAAAATCAGAATGTCACACATTCCAGAATATTATTCCATTTCTATTCTCACTCATGTTTTTTTTTTTTTTTTTTCCACTCAGTTCCTATAATAAGGAAGATGTTGGGAAAGAACAAAAACTCATTAAAGAAATTATTGTCCCCATTTTTGTCCTGCAGACAGTACACTTTAAAGTCCATGTCTTAAATATTATGTCACATATAATAAAAACTCAGTTTTTTAAAACACTGACAACAAAATAATTTTCCATGCTCAGAATATTTTGTTTTCTAAGACAGAAAAAGTTCTCGAGTGTTTTTTCCATGTATAGATACCATCTAGCCAGTAAAATATTCACATAGTTATTCTGGAGAACTAAGAAGCAATACATTATTTTAATCATGCTTGCTCTTAAAATTTATCAATTGGACTTTCTTAATCTATTGCTCTTTTTAATTTATACTTAATAAATTAATGAGGGCAATTTAATAAAGTGGCAATGAAATTTCATAAATAGATAGATGGAAGTTCTGCTGAAATAAAGATTTGTCTCAGGTGTATAATACCTACTTTTTAGGTTCAATCTGACACAGCACAAAACTATACCATATACTATTCTATAAGAGGTCCTGGAGTTGACCAAGAACCTCGGAATTTATTTTACGTGGAAAGAGACACCGGAAACTTGTATTGTACTCGTCCTGTAGATCGTGAGCAGTATGAATCTTTTCAGGTAAGGTCTAAAGTGTGTGTACTGTGTTAGTAATGATGATGCTTGGCTATTTTGTCTCTGATTTACAATTCATTTAACCTTTTCTGTTTTCTGAGTTTGTCATCAACATTCTGGCTACTCTCTGATAGCACAGAATTGACTTGAAACAAAAAGTATTTTCATAGTACAAATAATACTGGATTCCACCAGATGGTTCCTGGTATTATGGTTTTACTATTTATTTTTTTCCCCATAAAAGAACCACTTTGAAAAGCAGTTTTTTGTTTTTTGAGATGGAGTCTCCCTTTGTTGCCCAGGCTAAAGCGCAGTGGCTTGATCTTGGCTCACTGTAGTCTCTGGCTCCTGGGTTCAAGTAATCCTCCTACCTTAGCCTCCTGAGTAGCTGAGATCATAGGCATGCACCATGATGCCCTACTATTTTTTTTTGTATTTTTAGTAGAGATGGGGTTTCACGTGTTGGCCAGGCTGGTCTCGAACTCCTGACCTCATTATCTACCTGCCTTGACCTTAGGTGATCTGCCCACCTTGCCCTCTTAAAGTGCTGGGATTACAAGCCTAAGCCACCATGCCTGGCCAAGAACAGTTATTTAGTTGGCACGAAAAGATTTGTAAACCTCTTTAAGGTATGGAGATACCATAGGAGGTAAATGAGTTTTGGTCATTATGTAAGCTGCAGTACCTTGGCAATGGGAGAAAGTTTATGGGGAACAGGTAGGGAATGTGACAGTGCTTACCAAGGCTTACTCAGCCCTTTAATCATCTGGTTAACTTCCTATGCTGGAAAGTGAGTAAATATGAAATAATTTAACCTAATGCTGTTTTGATTTCCCAATAGGACTTGGTCATTTTGCTTGTTAGTTTTATTTTATGTCTATTTTGGATGAATTAATTATTCATTAGAAGACCAAATTAATCAAATAAGACAGGCAAGCTTTGAATAAAGTATTTAGGTTTAGAATTGACATATACTGGCCTTCTAAGTATCTAGGATGGTCTGCTCTTTCTGTGATAGCTGTTATGGGAAAATTGGTGTTGAAATTCATATTACAAAACAAAAAAATTAAACTGCATTTCACACGCAATTTACCACTATTCATTTGTTTCATTTCTAATTCACCCTTTTAAAACTAAAAATTCTTTTGAAAGGACTTACCCAAATGTAACCATTGATATGCCTAAAATCCTCATTAGTAGAAAATAGGATAATATCCCAGTTAACTGTACCTGAAGAATTTGTAATCCTACAGAATCCCAAGTTCAGAAAGATCCAGAAAGTTGTATTTAAAATCCATGCACCTCAAGTTGTATTTAAAATCCATGCACCTGAACTTTTCAAACAAAGCAAAGCAACAACAAAAAAAGCCTTTAAGGCCAGGAAAATAACAGTAAAAATTGTTACATTCATGAACAACAGAACACGAATGAAGAAACTAAAATTATCTATGATAAATTTAAACATCAAATGCTATATTGAATCAGGAAATTAGGTACCTCTTTATCATTTAAAATTATATGTATATCCCAAAACAATACCAAATGGTGAAATGACTCATGCTGCAGTGCTGAACGGTCTCCAAATTAAATTCAAAGTGAATTTGAACCATACCTTATTTAAAAAGATTATTTTCAGTTTTCTTTTTGTTTTACTCTCTTCATAGCTAATTGCCTTTGCAACAACTCCAGATGGATATACTCCAGAACTTCCACTGCCCCTACTAATCAAAATAGAGGATGAAAATGATAACTACCCAATTTTTACAGAAGAAACTTATACTTTTACAATTTTGGAAAATAGCAGAGTAGGTGAGTACCTCCTTAGACAATAGATGGCAAATTAGCTGTGTTTTGATTCATACAGTTAGTTTCACTATGGCCATTGGGAAGCAGCACATCCCAGTGGAAAGAACAAGGGGCTCTGAGTAGAATTCTACTCTGCTTTTCACGAACTGTGTGACCCTGTGCAAGTTTCCTAATCTTGGCACGCCTAATTTCGTCATCTGTAAAATAGGTTATCAATATGCCAGATCGTTACGAAGATTAAATAAAGCACAATACACAGCAAATGCAAAGCACAGTGCCTGGCAAATAGGAGTTAATAAATGTTATTCTATATGTATGCAAGAGAACACAGTCCAAAAAGAATCAGTCTTTCACTAATTGGAGATGTAGCCTTAAAAATACGTACTGATGTTCTTTAGGATTCAATGAATCCCAGTGTTCTGGCATGATTATTAAAGTCACTGAGAATAATACAAATGTTTTCTCAGTCCTGTGAAATGCTCTGTTTTAGCTAAAAGTAAGAACGCATTTTTGAAGACCTCCTCTAGAAAGGTCTAAGTGAACCATGAAGTTTTAGAGAAAACTGACTTCTATGATCAATCTAAGCACAGGCTTACAAATAGAGTAAGATTAGAGAATAATCAGGATTGTTTAGTCTGAAAATACATACGTTATGGAGGAATAGTATCATAAAATCATACATTAAGGCCGGGCACGGTGGCTCAAGCCTGTAATCCCAGCACTTTGGGAGGCCGAGGCGGGTGGATCACGAGGTCAACAGATCGAGACCATCCTGGTCAACATGATGAAACCCCGTCTCTACTAAAAATTACAAAAAATTAGCTGCGCACGGTGGCGCCTGACTGTAATCCCAGCTACTCAGGAGGCTGAGGCAGGAGAATTGCCTGAACCCAGGGAGCGGAGGTTGCGGTGAGCCGAGATTGCGCCATTGCACTCCAGCCTGGGTAAAAAGAGCGAAACTCCGTCTCAAAAAAAAAAAAAAAAAATCATACATTAAATACAGTAATTAATATGATCACCCAATTCCAAAATGCTAGAACACCAAAATATTTGAAAGAAAATGATACTTTATGGAGAGGCCTGCAAATTTATAAAAGCCATGACTTTGCTATATAATAATGTGGTTCAGAACTTCTTTGAGGTGGGTGAAGAGGAGTGAGATAAAGGGAACGTAGAACATGTGAACGTTTTAGAGACTAAAAAATGACCTTCTTTTCGGTAGGCTCTACTGTGGGACAAGTGTGTGCCACTGACAAAGATGAGCCTGACACGATGCACACACGCCTGAAGTATTCCATCATAGGGCAGGTGCCACCATCACCCACCCTATTTTCTATGCATCCATCCACAGGTGTGATCACCACGACATCATCTCAGCTAGACAGAGAGGTAACGTAAAGATTAATAAAACCTGACTATAATGCGGCTATTCAGTGGTACCTGTACAACTCCTGTAGATGTGATTTGGAAAAGTATGTTCTAAATCTCCTTTTAGAAACATTATTTTATGTATGTTAATAGAGATCACTAAATAACCTTGGAGTATGCTGATTTTGAACTGCTAATTCATTCTTTTCTGAATTGTATGTTTTATGCAATCAAATTTCCTAACTTAAACATATTTAAGGTATTAAAACAGAAAATGCCAAATATGAAAGTGAACCTTTTAAATATATGCAGAAATTTGTTATCATCTCTTCAGCAATCTCATTGACATTTTACCTCTTACATAGATGAAAAGACAGTCTATGTCTCACTAATCTCTGGTTTCCCAGTTTCAATCGACTGTTAGAAATCTTAATTTGGATGTGTCAGAGGTACCTAAGATGTAATACATCTAAAATTTAACTTGTCTTTTCTTCTAAACAGATTTTTCCTTTCCATTTTCTAGTTAAAAAGATATTAATACATTCTTTCTCCATTAAACATTTCCTATTGTCACCTTGGAGTCATTGTCTCCAAATTGTATTTGATGTCTCTTGGGAAGTGATGTCTCACATCACTTCCCAAAGCATGTTATTACCTCTGAGATTATTTTATATCTATCTTCTGTCTCTTTTTACTATAATACCCTTGCTTAGTAATTCATTCACTTAACTATTTCCTCCTCCATTAAGCATTATTCATCTAAATTCTTAGAGCAATTTCTGTGTCATTATTTATTGCATTTATAATCCTTAATCTTAAAATATAGTAATAGATGTTTATCGCATATTTTATTTGATTCTTAAGTCTTAAATCTTCAGAATAATTTTCTCTTCCTTTCTCTATCCCTCATGGATTAGGGTAGTAGTTCTCAAATAGTTTGGTCTCAAGATCCCTTGACAATGTTAAATATTGTTGAAAATCCCTAAGATCTTTTATTTATGTGGGTTGTATTTATCTATATTACCTCATTCATGTTTAAAGCTAAGGAAAGTTTGAAATTTATATTATTTTAAATATTAAAAATAATAAATTTATTATATTTTAAGTTAAAATTCTTATAAAATAACATTAAAAATTGTTACTTTTTTGCTTTTTATACTTAGAAAATAAGTACATTTTCCAAAACAGTACAATTTATCAGGAAGAATGGCATTATTATGCATTTTCCCAAATCTTTTTAATATTTTCCTTAAGACAGGTGGACTCGCATATCTCCTTCTGCATTTAGTCTGTTTCAACATGTGGTTTTAGCTGGAGCATATAAAGGCAGTCTGACATGGTATGAAGTTAGAAAAGAGAGGAGTATTTTGATGGTAATAATAGATCATTGTGGATATTCTTCTTTGTACTGCATGGAAACTTGACAAGGAGTCACTAGTTTCCTAAATGTTTTTGGTAATGTGGACTCTGAAGCCTCACCAATGACCTTCTGTACTCTATTACATTTAAACCCATTGCTCTATTTTACACTGTGAGTGACCATTTTATAAATATATGATTCTATAGTGTGCATTGGTCATTTGGAAAATATTGGTTCACTAAGTAATGCAGAGCTTCCAAATATTCCAAGTATTTACACATTTCATTAAATAATATTAAATATGTCACCTCTGTATTTCCATTGATATCACATTGGTTGATAAAGGTTTTACAAAATTCTCATATTTGTTTGAAAACTCCAATTTATCATTGGCAACAAATAGTTGTTTTCCTTGAAGTGACAGGTTAACTTTATGTTTGACAAAATATCTTCATAAAACTGTACTCTGAATAGATGTCTATGTGAAAATAGAGCTCTCTTTGGGTGGTTGGGTTGGGGGAAGAGCAAAAATTCAACAGCTTGTTCAGTTCTCAAATCAAACAATTACAGAAGTGCATTTCTTTGAATAGATTCTTCTGAAACAGTCAGTTGAAAACACGTGTCCAATGAGGGAGTTTATCCAGTGGTTCTCTCTAGTAACTTTTTAACCTTAGGATGCCTACAACCTTTTAGTCCCTTTAAACACCTAAATTTCTCTTCCATCTGAAGATATCACAAATTAATATTTAGGGTATCAAACTTCATTTTCTTGTGTTATTAATTTTATTAACCAGTTGATTATTTCCAATAAATTTTAGTTTACTATAAACAAAATATGTATTCATTCTAGAAAGTACAGTAGCATTAAGTTTAAAAAATTTTCAGTTAAAATAAGGCCATTATTATTATTATTTTTTTTTTTTTATTGCATTTTAGGTTTTGGGGTACATGTGCAGAGCATGCAATACAGTTGCATAGGTACACACATGGCAGTGTGTTTTGTTTGCTTTCTCCCCTTCACCCACATTTGGTATTTCTCCCCTGGCAATCCCTCCCCACCGCCCCCTCCCACTGGCCCTCCCCTTTTCCCCCTATAGACCCCAGTGTTTAGTACTCCCCTCTCTGTGTCCATGTGTTCTCATTTTTCATCACCCGCCTATGAGTGAGACTATGCGGTGTTTCATTTTCTGTTCTTGTGTCAGTTTGCTGAGAATGATGTTCTCCAGATTCATCCATGTCCCTATAAACGACACGAACTCATCATTTCTGATTGCTGCATAATATTCCATGGTGTATATGTGCCACATTTTCCCAATCCAGTCTATCATCGATGGGCATTTGGGTTGATTCTAGGTCTTTGCTATTGTAAACAGTGCTGCAATGAACATTCGTGTGCATGTGTCCTTGTAGTAGAATGATTTATAGTCCTTTGGATATATACCCAGTAATGGGATTGCTGGGTCAAATGGAATTTCTATTTCTAAGGCCTTGAGGAATCGCCACACCGTCTTCCACAATGGTTGGACTAATTTACACTCCCACCAACAGTGTAAAAGTGTTCCTTTTCTCCACATCCTCTACAGCATCTGTTGTCTCCAGATTTTTTAATGATCGCCATTCTAACTGGCGTGAGATGGTATCTCAATGTGGTTTTGATTTGCATCTCTCTGATGACCAGTGACGATGAGCATTTTTTCATATGATTGTTAGCCTCATATATATCTTCTTTCGTAAAGTGTCTGTTCATATCCTTTGCCCACTTTTGAATGGGCTTGTTTGTTTTTTTCCTGTAAATCTGTTTGAGTTCTTTGTAAATTCTGGATATCAGCCCTTTGTCAGATGGGTAAACTGCAAAAACTTTTTCCCATTCTGTTGGTTGCTGATTCACACTAGAGACTGTTTCTTTTGCTGTGCAGAAGCTGTGGAGTTTCATTAGGTCCCATTTGTCTATTTTGGTTTTTGTTGCCAATGCTTTTGGTGTTTTGTTCATGAAGTCCTTGCCTACTCCTATGTCCTGGATGGTTTTGCCTAGATTTCCTTCTAGGGTTTTTATGGTGCTGGGTCTTATGTTTAAGTCTTTAATCCATCTGGAGTTAATTTTGGTGTAAGGTGTCAGGAAGGGGTCCAGTTTCTGCTTTCTACCCATGGCTAGCCAGTTTTCCCAACACCATTTGTTGAACAGGGAGTCCTTTCCCCATTGCTTGTTTTTGTCAGGTTTATCAAAGATTGTATGGTTGTAGCTATGTTGTGTTGCCTCTGATGCCTCTGTTCTGTTCCATGGACCTATATCTCTGTTTTGGTACCAGTACCATGCTGTTTTGATTACTGTAGCCTTATAGTATAGTTTGAAATCCGGTAGTGTGATGCCCCCCGCTGTGTTCTTTTTGCTTAGAATTGACTTGGCTATGCGGGTTCTCTTTTGGTTCCATATGAAGTTCAAGGTGGCTTTTTCCAGTTCTTTGAAGAAAGTCAATGGTAGCTTGATGGGGAAAGCGTTGATTCTGTAAATTACTTTGGGCAGTATAGCCATTTTCATGATATTAATTCTTCCTAACCATGAACATGGAATGTTTCTAGTCTACACTTGTGATTGGTTATGAGGGAGGAGTAAATCTGGAAAATTGCATGTGAAAAGCAGGATCAAGAGAATTTTTTTCAGTTTAGATAATGCATGAGGAAAAGACAGTTTCAGAGGAGATAGAATTAAGGGAATAATCTTTGTAAGAGAAAACCTAGACAAAGTGAATTTTCCAGTTGCCCAAGATTATGTCTGCTATTTTTGTAGTTGGAAGTAGAACCCAAGTCTCCTAATGCTCAGTCCAGAATGCATTATTACTATGTTGTTTTTAATACTGCCACATCTCAATCACTTATGATAAATGAAAGTTACAAGGAAAAACACTTTAAAATATTTAAGTGCTTTAGATGTTTAAAAACATTTTTTAAGATAGTGATGAGTTTTCAACAATATTTGATAAATGGAAGCTTTAAGAGCCAGATTTTATTTTCTACAGAAAGAAAAAAAAAACTACGTAGCCCCAGACCTTTATCTTCGTATCAATTTAAATTATCCTTAATAAATCAAACATAAATGCTTAAAATCTACATTTTTTGCAGGAAGAAATTTCATTTTATTGTTTTATTAGAAGACCAATATAATTTTGCTATGTATTTTTTGAACATAAGGATATACTTTGGCTAGGAGATAAAGGGTTTGATTAATTACCAGGCAATTTTAAATGCACCTGTGGCAATAGCTCTTCTTTTTCTGTTAAATAAAGACAAAACCAATTGATTCTGTATTCTGTAAGTAAATAGCACTTTAAATTTGAGAAATATTCAATTTTCACAAACTAATTAAAAATTCCTAGTGTGATTCTCCTGCCTCACTTGAGCCCAGGAGGCAAAGGTTGCAGTGACCCAGAATTGTGCCACTGAACTCCAGTCTGGGTGACAGAGTGAGACTTCATCTCAGGAAAAAAAGAAAAGAAGAGAAAAGAAAAATTACTGATGTGAGAAAGTTCTAATACATGAATGCTGTGAATCATAATAATATACTTCTTAAATTCTTAGTGCAAGAAAAATATGGAGTGATAAAGTAAGATTTCAATTATAATGTTGGTGCTTTCACCCAATAATAAATTGTTTTTGTTTTTTTGTTTTCAGTTAATTGACAAATACCAGTTAAAAATAAAAGTGCAAGATATGGATGGTCAATATTTTGGTCTGCAGACAACTTCAACTTGTATCATTAATATTGGTGATGTAAATGACCACTTGCCAACATTTACTCGTATTTCTGTAAGTGTGTGATATTAATTAAAGAAAAATGTATGGACCAGTGTTAATCGTTTATTGTGCACATCTCCGGCCAGGCACGGTGGCTCATGTCTGGAATCCCAGCACTTTGGGCGGCTGAGGTGGTAGATCACCTGAGTTTAAGATTAGCCTGGCCAACATGGTGAAATCCCGTCTCTACTAAAAATACAAAAAATAGCTTAGTGTGGTGGCGGGCGCCTGTAATCCCAGCTACTCAGGAGGCTGAGGCAGGAGAATCGCCTGAACCCAAAGGCAGAGGTTGCAGTGAGCCGAGATTGTGCCATTGCACTCCAGCCTGAGCAACAGAGTGAGACTCCACCTCAAAAACAAAAAAATGCACATCTCCAACCATCCCTCATGATTTCAAATGAAGTTCCTCAATGCCATTAAACATTGTATAGTGTTAGGGTTTAAAAATGTAAACATAGTACTTTGGAAATTAGAAGACTAGGATTTACTTCACATGGTGTTCTATTTTTGTGAGAGTTACTAATGAATTTTTTTGTATGCTCTTATTATTTAGTATGTGACATCAGTGAAAGAAAATACAGTTGACGTGGAAATCTTACGAGTTACTGTTGAAGATAAGGACTTAGTGAATACTGCTAATTGGAGAGCTAATTACACCATTTTAAAGGGCAATGAAAATGGAAATTTTAAAATTGTAACAGATCCCAAAACCAATGAAGGAATTCTATGTGTGGTTAAGGTAAGAATAAATTAGAACATTATTTGTTGTTTATAATATCATAGAATAGCATGCTAGAGTTTGATGGAAAGAAAGGAATTCTGATAAATGTAGCAATAAAATAGATATATAAATGTAGGAATAAAAAGATATATAATTTGCATACAAAATGAAAATGCTCTGTTCCTCATATATAAGGGAAAGAATATATTAGTTTTTGATAATCTTTTATTAAGGCATGATTTTTTAAAGAAAATTAATATAATACAATATCTATTTTTGTAACCAATATCTCTAAATGGTTCAAAAACTAGCCCATGGGACAGTGCTGGACTTTTCCTAGCCCGATTTTTCTGTGTTTGGATCAAGGAGTCTTCACTTACTTACTGAATTTACCAAATAAAGGATTACTCTTGGTCAGCCCAATGGAGAGGTTATTTGTAGGTTTGTTTATCATTTTTGGTATATGTTATATCCTTAGCAACCAGGTTCAGAATGAAAATCCTCAATCATTCAAAGATCTAAACACTTCTAAAACTTATTTCTAATACTATTCTACAGCATTTCAGAAGAACTCACTGCAAATTCAGGAGCTAGAATTAGTGCATAAAGCAATCTGAGCTCCTTTGGTCTTGAACAAATGTATAGACTTATTTCTGCTGCATCTTTAACTGGAACATGGTTCTGCTGTGGGTCTATGCATTTTCTTTTGTACATATTCACAAGGACCATGGATTAAGAAATGATGAATCCTTTTTCCTTGAAATGATGAAATTCAGCTATTTTTAGATTATTTTCTTTATTTTAAGATAGCAAAGAATTAACCTTTAAATCTTTCTTCACCTAACCCCTGCCCTAATCCTTGAAATTCTGAGAAGGAAATTAATCTGTGTGAAGTCCAAGACCTGAAAAAAAATTTCTGTCTTCTAGGACATGGTTTCACTGATCCTCATTACAACTACATATCAGGGAAGATAAAATAAAATCTTTTATTAAATGTGTTATTGTCTCTAAGATAAGAACTGGAATGGAAAACACATAAAAGAAGAAAATGTGATGCCCCTAAGCTTTGTATTTTCTTGTCTTTCTCCTCTTAAAAGCATTTAAAAAAATTACCCATTTTTTTCTCTACCTCAAACCAGGTACAAATAATTGTATTCATCTTAGGAGGGTAAGACAAGCTGTCCTAAAATTAATCATTAATTTTAGGACAGCTTGTCTTACCCTCCTAAGATGAATACAATTAATAATAAATAACTATTGGTTATAGTATGAACCACCTAAAGGAGTATCTCATGTATTAACATCTAGGGACCTCATTAAATAGTTTCTGAAATCTCTATCAATACCTGTTACACTACTTGTCTTAAATTTACAGTTGAAGAACAATTTTCTGTCCCTTTTTGCCAGCTTTACCCAAGTACTGAATCAGTGGGAGGAGTTTTCTCTCTCTACCACCACTGGGTTTCTGGGTGTATTACTCTGTTCTCACATTGCTACAAAGAACTCCCTGAGACTGGATAGATTATAAAGAAAAGAGATTTAATTGACCCACAGTTCCACAGGCTGTACCAGAAGCATGGCTGGGTAGGCCTCAGGAAACTTACAATCCTGGAAGAAGGCAAAGGGGAAGCAAGCACATCTTCACATAGCAACAGGAAAGAGAGCAAAGGGGGAAGTGCTACACACTTTTAAACAACCAGATCTTGTGAGAACTCACTATCATAAGGACAGCAATGGGGAAATCCACCCCCATGATCCAGTGACCTCCCACCAGGTCCCTTCCCCAACACCCCACCACTGGGAATTACAATTTAACATAAGATATGGGTGGGGACACAGAGCTAAAGCATACCACTGGATATCTGTTTCATATTCTCATGGTTGTTTCCAACACAGCACTTGAATATTTCCAAATTTAACGTTATATACACTCTTTAGCATTGCCAAATAGTGAATGGGTTAATCTGATTTTCAATACATTTGCTTTTATAGCCACTGAATTATGAAGAAAAGCAACAGGTGATTGTGCAAATTGGTGTAGTTAATGAAGCTCCATTTTCCAGAGAGGCTAGTTCAAGATCAGCCATGAGCACAGCAACAGTTACTGTTAATGTAGAAGATGAGGATGAGGGCCCTGAGTGTAACCCTCCAATACAGACTGTTCGCATAAAAGAAAATGCAGCAGTGGGGATAACAAGCAATGGATATAAAGCCTATGACCCAGAAACAAGAAGTAGCAGTGGCATAAGGTACTTACTGTTCAATTTTTGTTAACTACAAGTTTTCTGTGTTTTAAAAATTTATAGCTTATTTTGATACCAGTTATTACAATTTAGCATATGATAAATTTTATTATTTTAATTCATCATTACCAACAGGTATAAGAAATTAACTGATCCAACAGGATGGGTCACCGTTGATGAAAATACAGGATCAATCAAAGTTTTCAGAAGCCTGGATAGAGAGGCAGAGACCATCAGAAATGGCATATATAATATTACAATCCTTGCATCAGACCAAAGTAAGAATTTGTTTTTAAGCGAGCCACATACTTCCTCAGCTACATACATCTTCAGTGTTTAAGCCAACAATATACATTTTAAAGCCAGCTACATACACTCAGTTTTCATATCTCTCAATATAAAGTAAGAAGTTTACTATAATTTGTTAACTCATGTCTACTTTCTAATAGTTTTCTCAGTTTTCGATGTAATTATAAAATAATTTACTCATAGAAACACTTGAAACCATAATTTATTAAAGGTAAAATTATTAAAAATTGAGAGAATTATTTTAGTAAAACTTGTTTCTGCCAGGCATGTGGCTCATGCCTGTAATCCCAGCACTTTGGGAGGCCAAGGCAGACAGATCACTTGAGGTCAGGAGTTCGAGCTTAGCCTGGCCAACATGGTAAAGCCCCATCTCTACCAAAATGTAAAAAATTAGATGGGTGTGGTGGCAGGTGTCTGTAATTCCAGCTACTTGGGAGACTGAGGCAAGAGAATCGCTTGAACCTCGGAGGTGGAGGTTGCAGTGAGCTGAGATTGTACTACTGCACTCCAGTCTGGGTGACAAAGTGAGACTCTGTCTCAAAAAATAAAAAATTTAAAAAAACTTGTTTCAATTTATCTACTTATTTTGCTTAAAGTATTCACTTTGGCAGGAAAATTCATTAAAGGGAGAAGATACTTACATAATGCAGTTCTGGAAAAGAGCTATAACTTTTTACAGGAAGCTAACAATATACTTGGGGACTAGAATTCTGATTAAAGACAATATAGAAAAATAAATCATGGTATATTTATGATCATGGTAAATAAATAGTATATTATAAAATTAGAGAGACAAACACTACGAATTCATATAATCATATAAAATGCAAAATTATGTTCTGTGCAGTCTATAAAATTGAGAGAACTATGCATATAACAATTATATATGAGACCCATCTGGTACATAAAATATAATTTCTGTAACATGAATTTGAACTTTGTGTCTTTGCAAAATAAATATGCTAACTATAATAAACATAAATTATTATGCTATAACCTGCAGAATTGGAATTTAGATGTGATTTTGGGACATGATTTATGTATTCCAGTTCTCTATAAATTAATGAGAAATGACTCAATTTATTAAACTGGTAAAGTTGTAATCATTATTGATTTGTCTTTAATTAAAGACTGTTAAGGCCTCAACTTCTCATATCTTTTTACCAATAAATACTTTTCGGTCAAAGGCAAATGAAAAGAAAAAAAAATGTAACATGAAACTCAAATCCATTACGTTTTTAACAGTAATTTCTAATTTCGGACAGGAATTTTTAACTTATCTGTCTGTAAACTACTGTCCGAAATGAGAGATTCTGGCTTTAACTTTACTCTACACTCTCCTCTGTTGCAGAGGAGTTCAAATGATTGAGAAATCAAATATTTGTATGGAATCGAGATGGGGCACTGCTAATCACCATTGTGATATAGGATAAATGTTTAATGAGGCTGTTCCCATTCATTTCTTTTGAAGAGGGTGGTAGTCATTTGTGTTACCTTTGTGTAAGGGAATTGTGAATCAATAATTCCACATCCTTTTACTTTGTGAATCGAATGAACTGAGAATATATAAAAGTGTGTCATTTTTTGAAAAACTTTTTTCTAAAATCTATACTGGCTTATTTCATTTGGGTCCTCCCTGCCACTCCCTAATGAAAACCTCTCCTCATGGATACTGATGTCTTGGGTTGATGCTCACTTCCTATCCTCTTACACCTCCACAGCAATTGCTTCCTCTTTTTTTTTTTTTTTTTTCTTTGAGACAAAGTTTCGCTTTTGTTACCTAGGCAGGAGTGCAATGGCGCGATCTCGGCTCACCGCAATCTCCACCTCCTGGGTTCAGGCAATTCTCCTGCCCCAGCCTCCCGAGTAGCTGGGATCACAGGTGTGTGCCACCATGCGCAGCTAATTTTTTGTAGTTTTAGTAGAGACGGGGTTTCACCATGTTGACCAGGATGGTCTTGATCGCTTGACCTTGTAATCCACCCGCCTCAGCCTCCCAAAGTGCTGGGATTACAGGCGTGAGCCACCGCACCCGGCCAATTGCTTCCTCTTTTTAAAATTCTTTCTCAAGGCTTCTATGTCTAAACTTGCCCACACATTCCTGCATGCTTTCTGGTCTTGACTGCCTTCCCCTCTCCTAAAAATATATTTATTTGTTAAGCTTTAAATTCAATTCGTCTTTCCTTCTCAACTTCTTAATCTAAATTCTGTTGGCAGTTTTACCCAGGTATCAGCTCTGTATAGTTGAGCTTTAGATTATTGTTTCCATTGTATTATTCCAGCTTTTAGAAGGTGGTTACTTGCAACTATGCTTTATATAAAATAGTTATCCTGTAACTTTCTATTGAGTATATAGATAGATGAATGACTTAGGCTACACCCCACAGTGATTATTTCAGTTTTCAAGTAATTTTCCACTCCTGGATTCTTCCGCTCTTTGAATATTCCCATATATTATTTTTTGTTACAATCATTTAAATATATTTAATTGCTTTGCTCCAAAACCTAAGTGCTACCTGGGTTTCCATCAAACTCTAAACTCCCTAGTCTGGCTTTCAAAGACCATTAGCTCCTGCTTCTGTGTCAGTTTCTACCTGTCTACCTTCCCTGTCACTGTCTCCAGATCATGGGTATGTATAACATGTGTTTCCACCTCCTTGAATTTCCTTGGGCTTTTAAATATACTAGAAGTGTCCTCATTCACATGCTCTTCCTTACTCCTCTCACAAATCGGCCAAAACTCACCTCTAATAAAATGCAGTAGTAATTTAGAAAATGAATAAACGCATCTTAATAGCAGTCATTGTTTGTACAACCCATATGAAAGTAATAATATTTTTCTTTTAACATTCCTGGAGGACGTAGCTTGTGGCTGCTTGCCATTGTAACTTTTACATTATAGGTAAATGTAATGTAATGCTTAATAAATATTTTTCAATATTTTCAATGTATAATTTTGTGGTGAAACTCAAAACATAAAAAGAGTATTTTATTTTCATTTTTCTAGAGGGGAGAACATGTACGGGGACACTCGGCATTATACTTCAAGATGTGAATGATAACGGCCCATTCATACCTAAACGGCAGGTGACCATCTGCAAACCCACCATGTCATCTGCAGAGATAGTTGCGGTTGATCCTGATGAGCCTATCAATGGCCCGCCCTTTGACTTTAGTCTGGAAAGTTCTACTTCAGAAGTACAGAGAATGTGGAGACTGGAAAAAATGAATGGTATATATTTTTGACAATTGCTTTGTCTTTTTCAATATCAGAATGTCTGCAATACTTTTTTTGGGGTATGAAATAGAAGAAAATTCAGCATGTGGGAACCACCAACGAAAGTTTCTCAGTCTTTGTGTGTGGGGAGTAGGTCTCTCTGTTGTGTCTCTAATCCTATCTGAGATTCCCTTAGGTGTGTTGTGAATTCTCACTCGCACTCCAAACACACACACACACACACACACACACACACACACACACACACACTTCTCTCTCTCTCTTAGACTGGGTCTAATGTAATCACTTCCTAACCTGTGTACCTCCCACTGGCATAAATTTCTTTTTAGTTTCCTAGGTTATGAGGCAGTCTTCACCTGTTATAGTTTGGCTCTCCAGAAAGCAGATCCTGAGACGGGGCGTTTCAAGCAGAATGATTACTAAGGAATTTGCTTTGAATCAGTAGCTGTGAAAGGAGGAAAAGTGGGATTGGGCAAAAAGCGAAGTCAAGTTGCAGCACGAGCCAGATGAGAACCTTGGTGAACCCCAGGGGGAGTCTGAGCTAAATGGGCCTTCAGAGTGGTCCTGAGTCTTATTGCTCCATCAGTGTGTGTGGGCTGCCCATGGCAAAAAGGCACAATCATGGAAGGTGCTGATGGCCTCCCATGCAGCTGGGACGAAAGTCCTTCATTGAAAAGGGATCTGGTATAGACCATATTGTCCATCTCATTCTCTCTCCTCTCTGCCACTGTATTGACTTCTGACTATTTCATGTCTATTATAGTCTTCTTGACATTCTCCCCTAACTTGGTTCCCCCTCTGTACTTTTCACTTAAGCCCAGAAGGATCTACAGTGATAAGTATGGCAAAAATGAAGGCAACCAGTCTACATTATCACCACTGCCTCACTCCCTAGTCAGCCCTTAGCTCTTCAGCATGTCTCCCATCTCCTGCTCACACTGCCTAGGGACCATGGTGTCATGGTCTACCAGCTTTTGTGACTCTGGAACCACTGAATGGGGCTTGCCTTTCAAATGCCCTTGAAAATTTTTTCATCCCATGCTTTCAGTAAATATCTCTCAATTTCCTGTTAGGACAAATTAAAAAACAAAGGTTATGAGGGAATGCAAAGAGAGAACAGGATGAGGAAAGATAAATGAAAACTTCTAGAAATAAGCTAAGCTACTATGTCTTGGATCCTGCTCTGTAAACAAGATTTTCAGCTTTTTAAACAATATTCTGGTGTGTGTGTGTGTGGGGGGGGGGTGTTATCAGTTTATTTTAAGATTGGGAGGAAGAATTAACTTTATTCTTAGATTTTTTTCTTTTCTATTTATGTGTTGTCATGATATTTATTTTTAAATATTGTTGATAGCAGGTAGACATTTTATTCCCCCGTAGTATTATTTAGCAAAATAAACCTTTGGCAGCTGTATGTTTGTCAAAATCCTTGTTATTTTAAAGATTTACTTATCTGTGTAATCACTTATAAGCTTGGGAAACACCCAAGTTTTATGAAGAAGATACCCTCAAGAGGCTTTGAAGTAAGGTAAGCTTAGTGTCAAACATAGGCTCTCCACTATGTTAGTTACGAAAATCTGACATACTATTTATTCTCTTTGAGCATCAATTTCCTCTTGTAAAATGGGCTTATTTGGCAGAGTAAATAAAATGCATGCAATACACCATCGTACATTCACATTAGGAATTATAAGTTTTGGTTTTGTTAGTCTCATTATAATTTCTTACACAATAGACTTCACAGGTTAACCACAGCTTCTCTTAAAATGGACATAATTCAATGTTTTTTTACCCAGACATTCAGGTTTGTATTTAGAGCTTCAAATACTATGCAGAAAAGTGAGAATGTCATGTTGGGCAGTTGTGTGGGAGAGATTATTCTATGGCACGTGGTGTCCACATTTAGAGTAGTAGTGTATCTAGGCTCTGAAACCAAGATTTTATTGACTTTAAACATTTTTTAAAAAATTTTATTATTTTTTCTTCTTCTAAGTTTATGCCAGTTGGGTAATGTACCGATGTTGTAAAAATGTTTGAAGGAGGTGCATCTCATACATGAGTGTTGTAAAAACCCTATCATCATATTTATGCACCATAGAAGTAATAAAAGAATCTGTATGGGCTTTTGGTTCTGGATATTTTCTAGCATTTATCTAAAAAAACTACATCAAAACTAAGACATTTGCAGTTGGTCCCTTCATCCTTTAGGACCAGGAGATGCAGTTCCAACTGTATGATTCGTGACCTGCTAATATAGTCACTGTCAAGAGTGTTCTAAATTGTCAGAATCAGCACAGTAAGTCAGCACAATTTATGAAAACAAAGTAAAGGAAAACATCCATAATTCCAGACTATTACGTCTATGAATCATCTGTAAAAGAAAATGTATACTCACTGGTAATTAAATATTTTCTAGATATGGTAGAAACTAATCTATTAACAAGTCTATTAGTTATGAAAAGAAGGATTTGTTTACAGGCAAATAAGATATATTATAACAAGAGCCAAACGACTTAGTTTAAGAGGCAGCATAAACAAACTTTTGTATGTAATATATTTGCAATGGGTGTAGATCAGAACTACTCTATCCATTCACATTTAGAATGTTCCAGTAGCTGTGTCATTCCAATAGGAATGTCTGTTTGTAGGAAAATATAACTATCTGATTAGTTATTTATTCTCAGAAGAAATCAATGACATTGTATAATGCTTGGTTTTATTTACTTACGTTTTCAGATACAGCAACACGTCTTTCCTATCAGAATGACCCTGCATTTGGCAAATATGTAGTACCTATAACAGTGAGAGATAGATTTGGCCTGTCGAGTGTCAGTTCATTGGATGTTACTCTGTGTGACTGCATTACCGAAAATGACTGCACATTTCGTGCCGATCCATGGACTGGCGGTGGAGGAATCCAACTTGGAAAGTGGGCCATCCTTGCAATACTGTTGGGCATAGCATTGCTATTTTGTAAGTCCTTTCTTGAATTCAGATAATAGCCTTTAAAGTAACTTTCAAGGAACTTAATTTTTTTGAGACAGAGTCCAGGCTGGAGTGCAGTGGTGTGATCTCAGCTCACTGCAACCTTCGCCTCTCTGATTCCAGCAATTCACATGCTTCAGTCTCCTGAGTATCTGGTATTACAAGTGTGCACCACCATGCCCAGCTAATTTTTTCCACTTTTAGTAGAGACAGATTTCACTGTGTTGACCAGGCTAATCTCTAACTCCTGGGCTCAAGTGATCCGCCCACTTCAGCTTCTCAAAGTGCTGGGATTACAAGCATGAGCCACCATACCTGGCCAACTTTCAAGACACAATCCAAGAATCAGTGCTATTTCCTATAGCTGATTGTTTGCATATAGCTGTATTTTTATTTAATGTATATATTTATTTATATCTTTTAAATGCATTTATGTATAGTTCTAGTGTCTTCTCAGTTATCAGAGACATACATTTCAATGTAGAAACAGAGCATGTAACATAATAATAGCATATCTGTTTAAAAGTTTAAATGGCATGTCTATTTAAACTTTTCTATTATATACTGCTTTGATACAAGCAATCCCATAAAAACTGTCTCCTTTTAATATGCACTTTTAAATTTATGATTTATCTGTGTATTAACCATTGTACATTTATCACATCACATTATTTTATGATAAACTTATATTTCTTTCTTCTTCCAGGCATCCTATTTACACTAGTCTGTGGGGCTTCTCAGACATCCAAATCACCAAAAGTAATTCCTGATGATTTAGCCCAGCAGAACCTGATCGTATCAAACACTGAAGCTCCTGGAGATGACAAAGTGGTAAGTAGTCTATCTTTCTAAATAAATACAAAGGATGAATTTGCCTATAATGCATATTCCTTCTAAAATGATCTTTTCTCAGAAAAGTTCTTTTGGCATCAGGCAATTTACCATAGTATGTCATGGGTTCCGTGGAGCATATAAAATGACTTTGGTTTACATGGTGATATATTTAAATTTGGCCATAGTGTGTTACTTAATAGTGAAAATGTTTTAGCATGTCATTGTTATTTTTACTTCAAATGATTCATGGTTTCAATTTTAAGTCTTTTGTATATATTTCAACTGCTGTTTGTGCTGTAAAAATGCTGCTTTTTAATTATTCACTGTTCACCAACATGGTTTTACATTTTTTTCTGGCAGCAATAAAATCACTACAAGCTTTGATCATCGTGGGAAGAATTTTGATAGATTCTTGCTGGCTCTAATATGGGTTAGGAAAGAGCCTGAGGCCCAATATATGAAATAGCAATGCTAGCAAGTGGCCATTTCTCCAACTTTGCTTTCTAGCTCAATATGTGGAAGAGAAGCAAGTACATACCGTATAGGAAGTATAACTGATGACTAGGGCAAGAAAGATTTAGAAAACAAAAGCATGATAGTATCCAAGAAGGTACTGAAAAAAATAAAGTTTAAATAATATTGGAGTTTCCAAAAACATAACATAAATAATTGGTGGCCAAAGCTTCAGTGTTCCTTGTTACTCTCCCTGCTTAATTTATTTATATATATTTAGATTGCAAGGATTCCTTATTGCAGTTAAGATTTTTATGGCAATTATAGTTTTATTCTTTCTGATTTAGTTGAAGTGTAACTGAATTAGATACGAAATGGAAATATTGATTATTACTTCTGTTTTTTCTTTATTCAGGTAAAAAGGAATTAATTTAAACTAAGCAGAATAAATATATTTGAGACTACAGTGTTTATTTTGAGGTGTGAGATGCAGGAAGGATTGAAAAACTCAAGTTGTACAGTATTCTAAGAGGCTTTTTTTTTTTTTTTTCTGAGGCAAGGTCTGGCTCTGTTACCAAGGCTGGAGTGCAGTGGCACAATATCACAGTTCACTGCAAACTCTGTCTCCCAGGTTCAAGCAATTCTTGTGCCTTAGTGGCTGGGATTACAGGCACCCACCACCACACCCAGCTGATTTTTGTATTTTTAGTAGAGGTTGAATTCCACTTTGTTGGCCAAGCTGGTCTTGAATTCCTGATTTCAAGTGATCTGCCCACCTCCCAAAGGCTGGGATTAGAGGCATGAGCCACCACACTGGGCAGGTATTCTAAGAGATTTTTTAGGAAGGAATATACATCAAGTTTCCTAACTTATCTCCAGGTACCAACCACACTTGACATCTGCAGTTTGCTTTTTGTGTGGCCACTACATTAAATTATGGGGTTTCTATAGCTGGGTATGCAGGATTGATAAGATAGATTTAGTTCCTGCTCTCAGAGAGCTTATGTTCCAGCACAAAACAATTATGACATTATCTGCTTGATGTTCTTCTTTTTCATAAAGTTTTGTTCTCTTCTGTATTATCCCTAATGCAAATTGTTTTCATTTCAGTATTCTGTGAATGGCTTCACAACCCAAACTGTGGGTGCTTCTGCTCAAGGAATTTGTGGCACAGTGGGTTCAGGGGTCAACAGTGGAGGTCAGACCATCGAAATGGTGAAAGGAGGACACCAGACCTTGGAATCCAGCCAGAGGGCTGGGCACCATCACACCCTGGATTCCTGCAGGGGAGGACGTGTGGAGGTTGACAACAGCAGATACACTTACTCGGAGTGGCACAGTTTTACTCAGCCCCGTCTCGGTGAAGTGAGTTTCCCTAAGTGGCCCACAAATCTATTTTGATTTCTTTTAAACTTTATGAATAACTAACTTGATGATGACCTTGATTTTCAATTAATTATGAATCTACTAATCCTGCTAATTGAAATCTATTATTTTTCCTCAATTTTGATTTAGTTATGTTCAGATTTAAGTGGTTATTTACTTTCCCTCCTTTTTTTTTTTTTAATATTCTTACTTAAATAATGTGTGGTGATATTTAAATTACTGTCTCATGGCTTTGTGCTAATATTTCCCATCTGACAACTTGTGCCTTAGAAACCAAAAGTGTGGTACCAGCAAGGCCAGCATGTACCATCACTATGTCTGTCTGGGAAGATCTGAGCCCACATCAACTTGTCTTCAGTTTAACGGATGCATTTCACTTTCAGCTAAAATTTTGAAAGGGAAAGTAATGACTCTGTAAAAGGAACACCTGTATTCTTGCTGCTACATGTGTGACTTTTAGAAACATCTTATACTGAATTTATAGTGTGATTTATGAAACAGACCAATCATGTGCATTTTTTATGTGTAGGAATCCATTAGAGGACACACTCTGATTAAAAATTAAACGAAAGGTAAATCAAAGCAATTATTTTTATGTTAGTAAGTTTTGGTGTTTAAAATAATAATAATAAAAGCATTGTGTTTTTCCCCTTGGCAGAAAGTGCATCTGTGTAATCAAGATGAAAATCACAAGCATGCCCAAGACTACGTCCTGACATATAACTATGAAGGAAGAGGATCAGTGGCTGGGTCTGTAGGTTGTTGCAGTGAACAACAAGAAGAAGATGGGCTTGAATTTTTGGATAATTTGGAGCCCAAATTTAGGACACTAGCAGAAGCATGCATGAAGAGATGAGTGTGTATTCTAATCAGTCTACAGAAGCCAGTGGCTTTATGACTTTTTAAAAAATTACAAAACCAAGAATTTTTTAAAAAAAACAGAAGATGCTATATGTGGGGGGTTTTCTCTCGTTATTTGGATGGAATCTCTTTGGTCAAATGCACATTTACAGAGAGACACTATAAACAAGTACACAATTTTTTTGATTTTTATGTATTTTAAAATTACTTACCTTCTATCCAAGGCGATCTACGGGGAAATTAAGAAAGTCTGCCTTATTTGTTACATTTGGGTATAATGACAATAGTCGATCTATAGTGCAATAAAATGTAATTAATTCAGGTCCATATTATAGACTACTTGAAGCACAACCTAATGGAACATTGTAGAGACCTTGCTTTAACATTATCTCCAGTTAATTAATTGTTTTATGTGGTGCTTGGAAACTGTTGTTTTCCTAAACATCTAAAATGTGTAGACTGCATTCTTGCTATTATTTTATTCTTGCAATGTGACCTTTTTCATAGCACAAAGGGAGAATTTTAGCTAGGCATTGACTATTACAATTTCATTTTGGTTGAGTTTAGTCTTAGGTTTTATTGTATATAAAATCCTGCACTGAATTTATGCCTGCTCTGTTACTTTTGCCAGTGATATTTAAGTTTTAAGATATTTTCAGAATGTGTTTTTACATCTGCAAGTTTTTGGTCTTTAAAATGTCCAGTAGCATCTCTTTCTTTTTCTCTGTCTCTCTCTCCTGTTTTTTTTTTTTTTTTTAATTTCCATATGGGCTAAAGAATCCAAATATTTTAAAAATCTCTCTCTTTTTGAATTATTTCTTTTTTGTTTTATGTAAGTGTATATATTCTTGGTTTTTCTTGAAATCAATGTAATGTTAACTTTGTTGTTTCAAATACCTTGGTGATTGCTTCGTTATCTCTTCAACAAGAAAGCTTTAATTTTGCCATTGAAACTGTAGAACTATGTCATGCTTTTATTAGAAGCAATGCTCTATGTTAACAACAAGAATGGTGTAATTAGAATTGGGATGTGGATATTTAGTGTATGACAACACATTTACAGTTCTTTAATTCAAGGGTACAGTTTATAAATGCAAAGTAGCGATGGTTTTGAAATAAGCTTTAAAATACAGGGATCTTGAAAGCTCCCTGAGATAACTATTTTATAACTTAGACAAAATGGCTTGTCACATCTATATGTTTGTAAAGTTATTTTTAAAAAAATATTTTAAGATTACAAGTTTAACAAATGTAGAAATGGGCCAAACTATCTAAATTTTAAAACAGTAAGACAAAATGAAACTTAATAGTCCACAAAATTCCAGTCCAGGTTTCATCACTTATTTTAGTCAATGAATTTTTTATGTATACTAAACATGTGGACATTTTAAATGTGTTTCTAATATTTGTGATTATCTATGATGTGCCGGTCTTGAACTCACAAGATTGGCTTATAACAATTATTTGCAAGATTAACATTGGGTAATTATTTGATAACCAGCTTATTATCTTTTCAGTAGTTTTATTATTGATAAATACAAAATTGGCAAAAATACTGTTTCCCAAAGTTATTTTTAATAAACTATGTACAAAATTCTCATATATTACTAGTTATCATTAAGTAAATTAAGCAGTTTTTAAAACTTAGTGTGAGTTTGTTAAACACAGGTCTGATATGAGTTTAAGGGATTTTTGCATTTTCTAAGTTAGAGAAGTAAGTCCCCCTTTTTAGATTCCTGTTATACATTTTTTAAAATGTAGAGTTTGTTTTGGAGAGATTTTCGCTGCATTGTTATTGCCATATTTACATAGTATGACTATTCTAAAGACTGCAGCTGGGGTATTGGTTAAGTTGCCTGCTTTTTTTTTCTTTTGTCTCTTTTCCTTATTTTAAAATAGGGAATAATAACAGAACTTCTTTCCTAGGGCCATTGTAAGTCACTTGAATGAAAAATAGTTTTGAAGCATGAGAGTCATTCAGCGTGGTCCACCTAAAAGGCACTCCTGGTGATAATAAATGATTTTAAACAAGTCACATGTATAACCCATTTCATGTTAACAAAAGGTCAATTAAGAAAACAAGATAATGAAAAGATTTTTCTTTTCACTGTAGATATGTCTCTTCATAATGAGCACCTGATGACTGTGTCTCTTCATAATGATCACCTGATGACTGGTTCTTATATGTTCAGTTTTTCAGAATACATAATGCAGAGATTGCTGAGGCATTGGTATGGGATTGCCTAGTTTGAAACACTGTGAAACTATTAGGTTCAATTGGATGAAAAGCAGAACATCTGCTTCTTAAAATGGGCACTAATTCTAACACCCAGTGAAAATTATGTGTATTTTAGATTCTCCCTGTCAATCCTCTTGGCTTCTCTGCTAGCTGTCTTGCTGGACATTAGCAGTCACTTGCCTGGGAGGTCGTGGCTCTTTGGCGGTTATCATAGTAACCCTAAGTGCTAAGACTTCCGAATAAGAGTGTCTTGATGCAAATCCCGGCCCTATTCTTACTAGCTGTGAGATTTGAGAATCATTTAATCTTTATGTGTTTAGTTTCCTTACTTGTAGGACCTGTACTGAGGAGGGTAGAGGAGTCTACATGACAGGGCTTTGTCAGAGTTCATTCATGAAGAATTAGCATAGAGTTAGCACTCAGTCAGTGTACCTTAGCCACTGCTATTGCTCTATGAGAAGAGAATGCCTGAGTTGGGAATTGTAGCTTCAGTCTCCACTCTACTTTACTGCTGACATCTTACCACGATACTCTTACTCATCTTTCTCAGAAGTCCAACCAGTATTTCACCTGTGATGGCCTCTGGGAATTTCATGGCTCATAGTAGCTTCCAGGTCTCTCATTTGTGGTATTTAGGAAGTTACATCTTATTCGTCCATCTTATTCATCCATAGCCAGAAGTCAGTGTGATAAATCTTGCTGCCTAACTGAAAAGGCAGGTAAAATTCTCGAGGCAAAATCTTCAAAAGTTTCACTAAGAAATGGATGCTTCTTCAGCAAACAGCACGGAGATCTTCTGTTCCGTGCAGTGTGTGTTTGGGGGCTCCTGGTAATCATTACTTTTTCTTTATTCTCATCTGAAGACTGTTTTTATCTTGGATCCCAGTTCTGTTTTGCAAAATCTGACTTTGACTACAGGATTCCCTTTTGTCTCCATCTCCATTCCTGGACTCCAGACTGAAGTCTTGACAACTGACTTTGCTCTGATCAGCCCCTTCAGTACCATCCTGAGAAAAAAATGCTTTCCCCTCTTTGTGCCTAGAATCATCTTATTTTCCACCTCCTTAAATACACAAAACCCCAAGAAGTTATCTGATACCAGTATAAACCTACAGCTCTTATGTCATCTCTTCTGTGAGCCCCTGTTAACCTAGCACTTTAAACTCATTATGCAAAAAGACAAACACATGCTACCACATCAAATCAGGTTCTCCTGAGTTACACAATGGTACACTTCTGCTCACTTAGGCTCGACACACAATCTTAGATTCCTCTCTTCCTTGCATAGCATCCTCTCTTTGTTGCCAAAAACTGCCAAACTTTTGAGAATTTTAAACACAATTTTATTCATCAAACACTTTGTTCTGTAGTCATTTGATGCCTTCCCAGCACAGTCATATGCAGCCTTTTAAAACAGAGACTAGAAGGACTGTGCTTCTATGAGAAAGTACAAGATGATTCAGCTACTCTCCCCACCCACACACCTGAATGCAAGTCAAGACATGGTGGATGTAAGGAGTGGGCTAATGCCTGTAAAACCCATCACACAATGCCTGGCACATAGTAAGTGCATAATACATGTTAAAAAATAAAAAAGCATCAGATCATGTAAAAGAACTGAAAGGACACTAGTAAGTGAACTTCTGCTTCTGCTACTCCCAACCCAAATGTTTATGAGGTTGAGGTGTAACCTATGTCGGCTGTCTTACTCTTCACTTCATCCCAACCAATATTACCCCCACCAGCACCCCAGATTAAATCTTCAGTATCTCTCAGCTCCAATGGTGTTTGTGTTTCCAATTTCTTCCCTCTTCCTTCCTTTCAAGGGCCATCAAGGAACAGATATGATCCTGCCATTCTCCTAAGAGCTTTCTATGGTTTTAAAGGGTAAAGTCTAAACATAAATTCAGATTCAAATACAGATGCTCCTTGACTTATGATGGAGTTTCATCCTGATAAACCCATGGTAAATTGAAAATATTATAAGTTGAAAGAGCATTTTCCATTTACCATATTTTCAGCTTAAAATAAGCTTATTGGGATGTAATCTCGTAAGTGCAGGAACATACTGAATGCTTATTTTTTGACACCATCACAAAGTTGAAATGTCATAGATCAAATCATCTTGAGTGGGGGACCTTCTGTACTAATTTCCCCTGTCTCCTTGTATCCCACATTTCTCGATCTGTGCCTTGCTCATGATTAGTTCTCTTTTTAACAATGTCTTTCCTCCTCATCTTTCTTTCTTTGTAAAAATAAGACTTTTTAAGGATCTAGTACAAATACCACCTTTAGACATTTGTGTGTCTAGAGCACATTGCTGTGAAGTTTTCATCTATAGTTTGTGTGTGTGTTTCTTTTCTCTCATGTAGGACACTAAGGACAAAGAAAGGTGTTCATAATTGCATGCCTATACAACTCTGGCAATTACTTTTTTTTTTTTTTTGAGTTGTAGTCTCACTCTGTCGTCCAGTCTGGAGTGCAGTGGCCCGAGCTCGGCTCACTGCAACCTCCATCTCCCAGGTTCAAGTGATTCTCCTGCCTCAGCTTCCCAAGTAGCTGGGATTACAGGCCCCTATCAGCACACCTGGCTAATTTTTGTATTTTTAGTAGAGACAGGGTTTCACCATGTTGGCCAGACTGGTCTTGAACTCCTGATCTCAAGTGATCTGCCTGCCTTGGCCTTTCAATTTAGTAACTGGGTTTATTGATTATTTGGGGGTTTATGAAACTTAAGTATTATGTTTGCTTTTTCATATAAAACATATTAAGCAAAATGCTCGAAATGTACCAAAGAGTTGAAACACATTGATTAGTACAATTCCTAAGTGTCTGTAAATTAAGCATTTCAGAATGTACATTGTTCCCCGTGGTTTCTACTTTCTACATTGATGTGAACTAGAAAAATAGTCTTAAGATAGAATGCAGCACCAAACCACGTAGAAAACATTTAATAAAAATTAACAAATTTTGCCACATGAATGCTGCTAGTCAATAAGATGTATGAAAAGTAAGTTGCATATATTTTTAAAAATCAGAATTGCCAAATCTCCAGAGATAAATAGAAATAGAAAGGTCAACAGCAGGTGGAACAGGTGACTGTCCAGAAGGCAGTAGCTATCTGGCCTCCCTGTGCTGTTGTGTGGGAGCTATGTTGGGTGGGGTAACAGGTAACACTCACTGACTGCAGTGGCCAGGAGGTTCAGAGGGCCCTATAAATCAGGGATGGGGGGTGAGGGTAGAGCCAAAATTTTTTAGCTTAAGGAGTGTTCCCCTGGGAAGGGGACCAATTGAAAAACTCCCAGTCACCAAGGACATGACAGAAACTCATAGGGAAAGAGAGGCTCAGAAAGCCAGAGGTGAAAGGAGCAGAGGGTGTCAATATACACAAGCTGTGATGCAAAAGTACCAGTGAAATCAGGTGAAAGGGATTTATCCAAAAGAAGTAAGAGAATAGTATAACGATTTTACAACGTAAGAGAATAGTATAAACATTCTACTCACGTGCAAGGATGTTGGTCTCAGTGGCATTAAATATGTGAATAATTAAAAATAAACTGAATGTTCTATGACAGGAAAGTACTTAAATGATGTACAACACACTACTGTGATACAGTGTACCATAATTGAGGACAGTGGAAACAGTGATCACACACAGACCTTGTACTCAGAAAGATGTGGGTCCAAATCTCAGCTTTGTTCTTGCTGTGTAACCTTGGGAAATCATAGAAGCCTTAAATTTCTAGCATACAAAATAAAGGCAAATTAGGAATAAATTATATAATTCACATAAAGATCTTAGCTTACAGCTTGGTTCATCAGTAGAGCAATAACCAGCAGCTGTCACTATTGGGATATGATGATGGAGTATCATGCAATCATTTTATTCTTAACACTTTAATTAAATGAGAAAAGACATAGAGTAGTATTTTAAAACTAGGATAGGTTTGCAAATTATTATAATCTCACATTCAAGTAAACATGAGACTCTCTGTAATACACTAAGATATTGAGTGATACGTCCTCGGTGAAGGAAATATTTTTTCATTGTGTGTTTCCATGTTTTTATTTTATCATGAACATTTATTATTTATAAAATTGAGGGGAAATTCATATAAATGAAATATAGAGAAAGAAAAACTCATAGGCTTTAGGATTTGGGGAGCTTACAAATCTGTGAAGAAAGGCATTTTCATCTTAGCTTTAATAAGTAAAGTTTACACTCAACATATATTCACAGTAAATGATTACATTGAAAAAAAAGAAAATACTGTGTCATCTCACATTATCATAATTGAGTGCAGTCATGTGTTTCTGGTCTTAAAATTTTACTTTAACACACTTAGTATTTGTTATCAGTAATCTGTTATGTACTCTCTAGACTAAGAATAAGAATAAGTATTAGTTTACTAGAAGTGTCAAATGAAATATTTCAAGCAAAGTTTGCATAACGAATGCAACTTTAAACCAATTAAATGTGTTCACTTTTTTTTTGTTTTTGAGACGGAGTCTTGCTGTCCCCCAGGCTGGAGTGCAGCGGTGCAATCTCAGCTCACTGTAGCCTCACTCCATCTCCAGTGATTCTCCTGCCTCAGCCTCCTGGGTAGCTGGGATTACAGGTGCACACCACCACACCTGGCTAATTTTTGTAGTTTTAGTAGAGACAGGGTTTCACCATGTTGGCCAGGCTTGTCTTGAACTCCTGACCTCAGGTGATCCGCCTGCCTCAGCCTCCCAAAGTGCTGGAAGTGCTGGGATTACAGGCATGAGCCACCATGCCCGGCCAAATGTA